CAGACCTTGTCAGTTCCCAGCTGCTTGAATTCGCTTTATTTTTTCCCCCCTCTCTCTCCCCGATGAGATTTTTTTTTTCTCCCATCATGTCCCGATTCCCTGCTCCTGCTTTAAAACACCCTCGGGCCATACCTCTCCCCGCTGCAGTCCCTTTTCCCCGTTCTGTGTGTTAAGGCTGTAAAATCAAACAGTAAGAATTACTCGATTTTCAGATCCTCGCAGCAGGGAGCAGACGCTGGGGATGGCAGTGCCAGCAGCGCGGCAGCAGGGACACCCTCCAGCAAAGACTTCAGGTGAGCAGCCAGCCTGCAGAGCAGCAGCATCGCCTCTAACACCCGTTTCGCACTCTTGGCCATATTGCTGTCAGGCAAACAGTAAGCAAGTACATTGAAGTCCCTTCAAAGCAGAAACCTCTGTGAAAGCATCCTGAAGGCCCCTGGGTACTTTTTCTGGAATACCTAGGGAATGGACGCAACTACAGAGCTCAGATAATGTATTGAATATAAACTATTATCTTTAAGTTTCAACTCAGTTTTCTTTGCTACTAATACTTGACGTTTCTGTATTGACTTAGGTCTTCACGTAGATAACAGGTAATTAAAATTTATTAAACAGTTTTAAATGGACATCTTATCTCTCCACAAGCTCTGTAATGGAGTTGTTGCTCTGTATTACAACTAGGGAAACAGGAGCAAAGAGGGGCAGTGACTTTCATAGCTGCTGAGGAGTTGAGCATCAGCTGACACCACAAGTCCAGACTTCTGGTCTGGTGGGCAAACCGCTGAATGCATTTTGATGAGCCAGAAGGCACAGAGCGAGTTAGCTGTAAGCCAGAGATCACAGTGGTCCCACTTCTAGAAGCAGGTGGTTCTTTACTTGTTCAGAGAAACACAACAACAACATTTGCTTTTTGCTAACGATTTATTCTTGTTTTTTAAAGCCTCTCCTTGCTGGACACTAACTTACCAGCTGAAGCAGAGACTGAATTGCGCAGTTTTATCGCTAAGCGTCTTACTAAAGGAGCCCTGTTTGAAGGAATGGGCAATGTAGCATCAGTGGGCCTGAGGTAAATTTTTTAAATCATTTGTGAATGAGAAACTGTAAGAAACATTGGTAGAATTGCACATCTTGCTATCTGCTGCTGCACTTAGATTTAACCCTGATTCCATGTTCTCCATCTATTGTTGCTGTTAATAACAGCTTATGAAATGGCACTTTCCTCTCTTTCTAGGTAGCTTTGAGAAAAATATTGTAGTAAATAATTTACTGTTGGAATGCTTAAAAATTACTACATGTGTTTATGACTAGTTCTTTTTAAACTGTGACTGCACCAGAGGGAAAAAAGAAGAGGTCTAAGAGCTCTGTATATGATGATAAAAGCCACCAGTGCTAGCGGATGAAAATTCTTTACAGAAATCATGTATGACTGCTTTTTGCACTTATTTATTGTGATGTATCTGTAACAAAATAATTCTCTTTTTTTTCTGCATAGCATACCAGAATATAAAGTTGGTTGTTATTACTGTCGTTTCCAACAAGAAAATCTTACAGAAGTGGCAACACTGGAATCAGACATCAATGCTCCAGAATATGTGGTTTGTTTCTTAGGTGGCTCAGAGAAAGGTCTGGAACTATATCCTTATCTTTAACTTTCTTTATCTTTGTGGAGAGGGAGATGATGTAAAAATTATGTTCTTATTTGTCTGTTTCCTACTTGCAATCAGCTCATTTGTGCACACCTTCCAGTAACTGAAAACATCAGTAACAGCTGACAGTAACAGCAGGGAAAAATGCAGGTCTTAACTGATGCATGTTGTTTTCCTTAAGAAGATACTTTCAGACTTGAGCTGGACAAATATGTTCAAAGCCTGAAGATAAACCTTGATTTGGAGGTAAGGCCTAACTTTCTTTTTAAGTGGTGAAAATTACTATATATGCAAATTAATTATGAAGACAATCTGGAAGATTTAGTCTACGGAGACAAAATAGGTGTTTTAAGTACTAGTATGAAACACTGCGAGAGATACTTGATTCACTGTTGTGACAGTCTGAAGTGCTATCAACCACCCAAGTCTAAAGGAAAAAAAAGAGAGGGGGGGACTCTTTTGTGCCAGTCATAAATCTCCTAAAGGTTACTTGCAGTCAGATTCAGAGAGAAGAATGACTAATAAAAGGTAAAGGTCTACAGGAAAGTTATCAGTCTCCACCTGGATTCTTATCACTTCTGAATGTTAAGGAAGGATTTTTGGTGGTTTTTCTTGTCACATTTTTTTCTAATGGAAACTACGCATTTTAACTCTCTCATCCTGCCTGCTGTTGCATGGTCTTTGCTCAGTATATACCATAATATTTCAGTGCTGTCTATTTCTTAAAATGCAAAGCCCTTCATTGCTGATAAAATGTGGCTTTAAATGTCAAACTCATTATTGTAGTTTACCATGGTTTGAAATTAAGAAAGTTCTGACATCCAGATATCTCAGGTTGAATAGATTATTAATAGGCGCCTATTTGTGTAGAAATCTAATTTGTAGATAAAGTTTTAATGTTTCAACTTGTTACAGCAAAAAACCTTGGAGACCTATGTTAACCCCTACTTGAGAAGCTGGTTTGAGAATGCCGTATGCCCTATTCAGAGAGTAGTTCTGCTCTTCCAGGAGAAACTCGCCTTTTTGTTGCACGCCGTAAGTGTACTACTTCAAACTGGGTAACTAAAAAAACTTCAGAAGGAATCTCAGTGACACCAAGATGTTCAAAATGTTTCTTGAATTTGCCTTCCCAGCCAGGAGTAAATGAGGAACAATTCTTTTTTTTTTTTTTTTCTTTCTTTTGTTTTTCAAATTCAGGGCAAGTACCTTTTCCCTGCTTTATTGCTATGGAAGCACTTACCAATTTCTTCTATTAATATTTATAGTAAACTAATTTTAAATTACATAGTAGTGTCGAAGTTGAAATTAGAATGAGAAAATTAGAAACAGCATGAGAAAGCTGTCCCTGCTGTAGTTCCTCTGAACCAAAAGGGATGTTATATTGCATATGTGCCTCATGTAATTCACTGGAAACAGAAAATAAATTAATCCTAGCTCTAGTCCCTGAGTTTGAGGAGGCTTTGGATGGAAAAGTGAATAGAGTGTAACTGCTGTGTTTCTTTTGAATGCAGCTGCAATGACGATAATATGGAGTATTCCTTTAGCTTCTACTCTTTCTCTGAAAAGAACAATTTTTAAAGTACCACATTACATATTTATTGCTAGTAACGGCAACATAGCAACAGAAGTAATATCAAAGCTGCATCAAGATTTCTTTGTTTGTTTGTTTTGTTTTAAGGCTTTGAGTTATACTCCTGTGGAAGTCAAAAATGCAGATGAAAGAACAGAAAAAGACATCAGCAGGTAAAGACACTTTGAGACCAAGGAACCTGTGAGTAACTTGGCTTTTGTGTATGACCGCCTCCTGTTCTTGCTGTTCAGGAACTGTAATGAAGCAAGCTGTTCACAAGAGCTTTTTGTGTCAGGTTTCTGGCAGCTGCCAGCCTCCAAGGACTTGTTCAGGAAGGCACAATGACCTCCTTGTGTATTGCCATGACTGAGGAACAGCACAAGTCAATGATTATAGACTGTAGTGGACCTCAGCCTCAGTTGCATAACGCAGGTGAGATTACAGCTGTAAGCACTGCTTCATGTTCCTTCACTTATATCCATCAGCTGCTGGGAGTTGTGGACATTAGAGGTAGTTGAGGATATTGAGAAGCTCATAGGTTCATACCCAGCAAGTTTGAATTCTGGCTGGAAACTACGGCACCTATTTTCCTGAGGTAACAGCGTAGTTTGTTTTACCAGGTAACACTGGAGCTCTGGTTTGAAAGTGGTTGATAATAAAATCCACAATGCATTCAGTTTGCGGACCATCAAACGACAACTAGTACACTTAAGGGAAGCTGCAAAACTTTTTTTTCCCCATCATATTTTTGACAGATGTTGTGAAAAGGGATTCAACAATCAGAACAAAACTTCATATAATCACTGTAGCTATGTTTGCTTTTCTTTTCCACATGTATTGTTTTTCTTAAAACTTATTTCCTGGCCCAGGTATACTATTACCAGTTGTTACGTGAGAGTGGTTAAACCAGGCAAATGCAGCTATAGATTTTGTTGAGCTCATTTCCTTTTTCTCATCTCTTCTCTGTGTTCCTGAGCACATAACAGGAAGCAACAGATTCTGTGAGGACTGGATGCAAGCTTTTGTGAATGGTGCTGAAGGTGGAAATCCATTTATCTTCCAGCAGATTTTGGAAAACTTTAAATTGAAGGTACCTGTTCATATATGTTAAAGACTTGGAGAAGACACCAGGGTTACTGAGGGAGCAAATACTCTTTTTGCAGCAAATAAAAGGTTTAGGTTACGTATGATGTCTGTACATCATTACCTGATTAACACTGAAGTAAGATGAGGACTGGCTTACTCTAGTTGACACGACCAGAATGTGAAGCAGCGTGAAGGTTTCCTCAGCAAGTACTCCAATGGCATTTTCTCATATTTAAAACAAAACCCACTTTTTTTTTTTTTTCCTTCAAATACTGCTAATTTGGGCTGTGCACACACAATATCGTATAGTTGCATAACATGGATTCAGTAGTTAACGCTTCTTGAGGTGCTCTTTCAAAGTAGAGGAGAAGAACTCCTGATACAAGTTTGGACACGATCAAGTGGTGTCCACTCATTTTACATCATTACAGTAACAGTGGCAATGTGCATCACAGACAGTACTCAATTCTTACACTACTCTAGTAATATACAGTTCCTATTGGAAATGCTTTTGCTTCTCCTGCTATTCTTCCTTCACTTTTCCCCATGATAGCTTATTTTCTTTCCAAGTACAAGGATAAGAAAATGCTCTGTTCCTCTTTTCCCAGGCTATACAAGACATTAACAACCTGAAGAGGTTTATCCGCCAGGCTGAAATGAACCACTATGCCTTGTTCAAGTGTTACATGTTTCTAAAGAACTGTGGCAGTGGAGACATCCTTTTGAAGATTGTTAAAGTGGAACATGCAGAAATGCCAGAAGCCAGAAATGTAGTGACTGTCCTTGAGGAATTCATGAGAGAAACATCAGTGGCTTAAAATTATCTTAATTATTCTGTACTCATTTGAGGGTATTGTATAAAACATTAATTCCTTCTGTGCAGCTTAGTTTCACTATTGCAGGATTTTTAATTTATATTTAAAAGTATTACCTAAGTCAAACCTAAGTTGCAGTTTCATCTGCCTTTTCTCTTTTTTAGATAAAGCACTATGAGTTTTTAATGGGTAAATATTGGATCATGCAAACTCTTGCATAGTTTTTGGTGTTTACCAGATTCTCGAAATGCATTGCTCCTTTTCTGAGGAAATCATGACATTTGGTTTTTACAGTCATTGCATGAAAAAACCCACAAAATCCCTTACCTGGCAAGCATTTCAGTGTTTTAAATATTTAAATATCTTTAAAATGATCATGTCTAATCAGGAAAATCTGGTTACTTTTGTTTTAATATATAAAGAAGCATAAATATCTGGATAAATCATAGTAAATGAATTAATCGTATTTGTTTATATAAGAGAACATAGGTAACAAGTCTGTAGCTAGTTTCCACATTCTGCTTTCAAACTGGCAGTTTGTTCTCCTGTTACGAGATAAGCAACTTGTTAATTGGTATGAAACAGAACTACCTTAAGATTAAACAGTTTTAGGAATCAGTTTGTATGTGCTTGTATGTATGCGTACATACACTGGACAGGCGTTAAATTCCCAGGCTTGATGAAACCCGTTCTTCGTTAGTTTGTGTTGTGATCAGGACCTTCTTAGTACCCATTTTGCGTAACTGTAAATAATCATGTTTTTCACTTGTGGAGAATTAAACCTGAAAATTTTCCAGATGAAATATTAACTTTAAATTAATAGAAACTTCTTCAAAAATGGAAGTAAAATAAGTTCAAGTTAATTATTCAGGCTTTAAAACATTTCATTGTATTTCAGCAATGAATTCTTACCCACCTCATAGGACATTTAGACAGCAGAATACTTGAAGAAAATCTTTGGCTACAGCTGGAATCAAAACTGCCAAGGCCTCTGAGTGACCACAGAAACGAAGGCTGTTTCTGCAAACCTGATACAAGCAGAACTCCCTGTTGCTTTCCTTTGAAGGCCTGACTTGGGGCATTTGAACAGCTCTCGCTGAACCAGTAACAGTCGCACTAATGCAGTTTGGTTTGTTCCGCCAGTGCTGTATATGGTGGTGATAGGAGTTGAATGCTTTCCTGTGACACCACTGTGCTGAACTTACATTAAGGTTTACAATAAACCACATTCAAACCCTTAATAGTGTGCCTAATTAAATTACAAATTAGTGTTGTCCTTGATGTCTCCCGTTTCAAACCCTTTATTCACACTGTGCAGAGGAGCGGCTAGTGTAATGTGCAGGAGTCTGCAAGTGTCATATGACAGCTGTGGTGACACAGAACAGATAGGGGCTGCTCAGAGAAGAAAATAAAAGTAGTTTGAAAGAAAACAAACCCCTTCTCTCATTTGCAGCAGCTCTGAGAAGTAACAATGTTTTCCTTCAGAATATTTTATCCATGAGCAAGGAAAGCAGTGCCACTCAATAAGACATGTCACCCTTTGTTGCTCTTGTACGTTTTTAACAAAGTTGGAGCAGCAATAGTTTAGTATTTTGTCCAGTCAGGAGGCAGGGAAGAGCTTAGTGCTCAAACCCCCCCCCCCCAAAAAAAAAAACCGGA